AGAAGTGGAACTAGACAGATAGAATGAGGTAATGGAAAATGAAGGTGGTGAGAAGGGAAAAAGGAAGAAAAAATTTAGATGAAAGAATGGTTGGTAAGGTTGATAATATGACTACTTAGAAAGCATTAAGTAGAGATGTGAGGCAATATGATGGATGGTTTGTGTTGGGTCAGGTGTTTTCCACGTGTGAAAACCTAACGACAAGGGTTCAATCTGGAACCAATCAGATTACACCTACGTGTGGGCACGCGATTTGGGGATGTCTTTTGTTCGGGTCAGTCAGACGAGCAGGACATGACCGGTGTCCAGTCCGACCGTTATAACAGTTTCTTTGTTATATATTAAACGGTGATCTATGATTAGAGATCTTTACACCTTAAGAACCTAATAGTTTGTGTTTAAAAAAAATAACACAGTATACAACATGGTGAGGAATGAGAAAGATCCATTTGAAAATATGCAATAGTCAGTGATATATGTGATAAGAACAGAAAGGTAGTGGTGGTGAGGTGTTATACATAGAATCTACTTTAAGGAACTTAAAGGAGCGGTTAAATGAACATAAGAGAGATGCATGTAAGGATAAGGTAATCAAAAGCATAGCACAAGAAGAATATGACATATAGGCAATAAGAAGTAATATGGGATAAAGCAAGAATAATCTATTAATACAGCGAAGACCTGTTTACAAATGTAAAAATAATAATAGATAAATACACATTTGTTTCAAGTATAGAGAATAATGTGGTAAATAAGGATGATGTCATATGTTATCAGAAATTTGGAGAGCTGTGATTAATAAGAGGAAAGAAGAAATAGTGAGAGCATTAGAAGTTAGATGTAAGGTTAAGAATGTGGAAGGGAAGTGATATAAGAATTCATGACAGCTATAGGAAATGAGTAATAATATGGTAGGATTGACTGGAGAGTTTAAATTTTATATTACTGCAGATAATTGAAGAAACTTGAGTTGGAGATTAATTTTAAGAAGTGTTTGAAACATTTGAACTTTGAAAATTTGTAGTTTTAGTTGTAGTTGTTACTTCAAGTTGTATTGTATGATTCTACTGAAGATGAGAAGAATGCCTCCAAAAAACTTTTCAAAAAGTTTTTATACTCCATGAGTGAGGTTTGGTATTGTGTATTTTAATAATGGACATGGAATTACTGTTTACTAATATCATAAAATTTAGTTTTTATTTTTGGTATCATACTGTTTTGTCTTAGTGCAGTATCTAAAATTCATTATATTTTTGAATCATTTATATTTTTCTATCAAATTACAAAGTGATTCAAATAGGATTTTACAACTTTGAAACATATAGAATTTTAATCAGAAAACTTATAGAATTACTTGAGGAATTAATTTATAGCAAAACACATCAAGTTTGTCTCATGTAGTAAAGAAATGTTGCATCAGATTGAGAAAGATGAGGCATACCTAGATAACATTACCTTCAGTGATGAGTCAACATTTCATCTGACTGGTAAAGTGAATATCTATAACTTGCATGGTTTAGATGCTCTGAAAATCCATAAACAACTGAAGAACATGTTCATGACAGTCAAGAAATTGAATTAAGATGGGATATTTCATGCATCACTAAATGTTTGAGATAAAACTTTAATGTGTTTTGCTATAAATTAATACTTCAACCAATTACTTAAGTCTTCTGATTAAAATTCTATATTCTTTCAAAGATGTAAAATCCTTTTTGAATCACTATGTATTACCTGATTTCAAAAGAATTATTTTTAGAATTATTTCAATCAATCAATGATTACAAATGATATATCCATTAACAAAACAAATATAACTCTCTGCAATTATTTTGAAATAAAAACATATAAAATGCATACAACTACAGTTGTAATCTAGATCATCAAAAAACAACTGTTATGAACAGTTTTAAAAATTTCTAATTTTAATTATTTAACTGTGTACTGTTTTCAAATTTTCTTTTCATTTTATTAAATCCAAGAATAAAGAACTTATCTAAAACTCACTTTTATTACTTTTTTCTTTTATTCTATACAAAACTGCATGCTACATTCATAATCCCATTTTCATTTACTTCTTAAGTTTCATCCCAAACAAAATATTGTATAATAAACAAGATTTATAATGTACCAGTACATGTTAGAAAATTAGAAATAAAGTCTCCAAATAATTATTATTTATTTTTATATATATTTATATATAAGAATAAATAAAGCTTTTGGAAATGAAAAACCTCATTATTAATTAATTTTAAATATTTAATTTGACATGACTTATTAAAATAGTATATTTTATAAATATTTTTACACATTACTCAAACAAAACATTTTGTCAGTCAAAAATGTTCATTTATTTATTTTATTTTAATTTTTTAACCTAAGTAATTATTAATGTTTTATCAATTAACAAATAACATTCTTTCAAATATGGTATGTTAAATATCATCATCTTTTTAGTCTTTGTACATTTTGGTAGATTTGTATTATTCTTAATTAAATTCATAAAATATTTCTAACAGTTCTCCAGCTATAAAATGAAGATAAATAAGTTATTGTAGCTGAATGTAAATATTTCATACAAATCAAAATGTAGCCATATTAATTATTGTATATTCAAATGGAGTAAATGAAAATATTACAGAAAAATATATATTTCTTTAGACTATACATACAAAATGAGTCAATTCCATTCTGTCCCTTCACACACTGTTCAAACAGCGTGTGAAAGAACAGAATGGAAAAATATGACAATTAAAAATATGAAATATATAATATACATTTATAAATTTGAAGTAAAAATATAATATTAAATCCATTGTCATTTGAATATTAAAATGCTAAAATAATTGTATTAATTATCCTACTTTGTCAAATACTAATGTATTTTATCCAAATAAATTATATCATGATGTAATTCTAGGTTATATTTTCATCTTTAAATTTATTTCTAAAAGATAAAAGATTACATAAGAATATTAAAAGTCTTTTATATAAATAAATGTAAAAATTTATTTTGTGATAGAGTTAAAAATTTTTTAATGTATTTAGAATGTTCTGATCAACTTATTAGGCAATATAAAATAATATAGCTGCATTGTTAGTTATACTCACTTTTAAAACTTCCCTCAAAATAAAATATTAATAAATGCAAATAAGTACCAAATCAGTTTTTCAGATGTTACTTTAGGTATGTTATGAGAAATCTAAATCTGATTCTGGAAAAGTGGGAGATTTTGAAGCAAAAGTATGAAAAATACATTTAGTAAAATTAATTTTTAGTTTCTGTATGTAGTAAAAATTATTCTTGTAAAAAAGGAATATTTTTTGAGAAAATAAACATGATCTCATAATTATATAAACAATGAAATATCTAATTCCTTGCAAAAATGCATACAGTATCAAAAACAAATATGAGAAAACATTTTATTTTAATTTCAATTGGAAAAAAATAATTCAGCACTTAGAAAATATAACTTAGTTTTACTTTGTTTTTCATAAACAGAGCATCTGTACAAATAACATTGTCCAAAAAATAATGACACAAATCAAAGAAAGATCTGTCAATCTAAATTAAGAGTTTCCCACTTAGATATTTTATGAAGAAATTTAAAAACTCTTAAAGTTTAGTGACATCTTATATAGAAACTGGCAAATTAAACAATAACAAATCTAAGAGTAATCTTTCAGCAGTTTCATTTTTTCATTGTTTAAAACAATGGAAAATCCATTAGATGCTTGGAAAATTTGTTCTGTTTCCCATATCCAATATAGTGTTTCTTGCACTTTAACATTAAAGTACAGTATTTTATAGCATGTGACATTATGAAAACTAATGTTTAAATGTTAAAAAAAAAAATTAATTTATAACTTCATTAAAATGTTTTCATTTGCAATTACTACATATCATTTTTAGCAACAATCTAATTTAACAAGAATATTGATAATTTTAATCTCACATTAAAAATAAACCTAATTAATAAATCTTATAGTATATAGTATTTATCCTTTAAACTAATATAAAGCAAGTATACACACTAGATATATTACATGTATTATTAGATATCTCTCTAAAAATATATATATTACAAGAATTATGATTATTGATCTATTTAAGGAAAAACACATGTACAATGAACTCTTTTTTTTTATGAAGAAAAACCTGGCAACATATTAAACAGGTATATTTTAATATAGTCATGAAGTTTAATACTTTAATCTGAAAATCAATTTATTTATATATATATTTTTTATTGTAACTAATTTAAATTTTCAAGTAATTCAAGTATAAATGTTTGTTTATATAGAAGCATAATACATCTTCTATAAGACTGTACATGCTATACAACACTAGAAATGATTAAATAGGATTTAAAATAGCAAATATACTAATAATTATTTCAGAAATATAATATTTATTTATTTTATTTATGAAATAAATTATTGGAAACAATTTAAACTTTACATAAAGAACTTTAATTATAAATCCTGATAAGTTTTTTATTTCATATTTTCAGAATAAATTTGCACTTTTATTATGAATCATTATAAGTAGTCAGCAACATTTATTTAGATCAAGATGATTGTATATTATTAATTAACGAAGGCTTTACCAAGACTTTATACTTGATTTTTGGTAGATCTGAACTCAAATTAGGTGAACCTATAACAATAATTGATAAAGCAGATGAAAAGAATTCTTATCATTCTTAACGATCGGCAATAAAAGGATTAGATAAATGATCAAACAATAGGAATTGGAGTAAGTGAAGTACATTTAACAGTTACTTAACTACATATATGATACATATTATATTGAAAAAGGCCACCTTTACCATTTTCTCGTTAACTTACTCATTTATAAGCGTTATAGAAGTGCTGTCATCAATAAGATCGATGAAAAAACCGAGAAAGTAATTAAAATCGTGGATAAAGCAGAGAAGAAACTAAAGTCGATAACAATAATAAAAGGAGGAGGATTAGGTTTAACCAATTTGACTTACTTGTTAGGAATCTTCCATTTCCACGTTTACAGCCAGGAATTCGGCTTTAACTATGTCGTGCATCTAAACATTATGAATGGAAAGACGTAACGAATATTCACTGGCACAAAAACAATCGCAAACGTCACCGGTTACTTAAAACGTACCTTTAAAAATCCCATTTCTTCGTTTCGTATAATTGGCCGAGACGACGAGTCGAACGGGAAAATAACCAATAGTCGTCGTTGATGTAAAGAACTTAAACCAATAGTGTGTATGAATTTCGAGTGTATATAAATATAAATGATATATTTTATTAACGATTTAATTTCGTAATTTCGATTTCGTTGTCTCTGTTATTAAGTGAACTTTTCGGACTATAACACACAATAATAAATATTTCCTTTAATCAACCGCTTCTCTCTAAGGAAAACGTCACAAGGAAACGTCACGCTCTAATTCATTGTAGAAAATATTTTACTCTTGAAATCTATGACGTATATCAAATGTTATATTTGATATACGTCATAGATTNCAAAACTTATATTAAGAAGTAAAACTCTTCACTTTTCAAGGTCCGTTTGATAAGTATGAAAAACAGGCCATTCAATCAGCCTATTATCTAATTATTAAAATAAAGATTATTATTAATATGATGAGAGAAATATATGAAATTGTTACAAAAGTCGTAAAAACAAACTGTTTTTAAATCTTCCCTAATCATATTTAAAATTATAATGTCTCAAAACATTTTTATTAAGAATTTTGAAAACTTGTTAAGAGAAAACAACATATATACCGTACATGTCTCTTCTGATGCTTATTTTATATCATATATTCTGGATATCAAATAAATACATATATCTAAGTACTGTACATTTATCAAATATTCTTTCCACTTTAAAATAAACTGTATGTATGCACAGTATATATGATAATTTTATAAAAGATGAGTGGTATATTTTGCTTTCCAAGAATTTCATATCAAACAGTATCAAAATTTATTATCATTATTTAAATTTGTTGATAATAATAAAATTGCACAACTATAAATACATTTTTAATAATGATATATTATCATTAAATTTTCAATAAATAATATCAAATTCCAAGTATATTCAAAAGCATCCTGGTCATATATTTTTTCCAAATTTAAATCAACAATAACTTGCTAACATTAATGGTATCCTAATAAAATGCCTAACTAGTTAATGATTAGCAGATTTTGTTACTTTTAATCGTTTACTTGTTATAAAATCATAAATTAAAATTAAAATGCAATTAATTCATTAATTTTATTATTACAAAATTACAAAAATCATGATCTACAAAAAAAGACTAAAATATTAAGTTCAGTTTTTGAATACTTGGAGAATTTTGAACAAAAATTTTAGCACATAATTCCTTTGATTTCCACTGTAATAGCACATATGCAAAATTTGTCACCACATAAATCTGTGTGTTGATCCCTTCAATCATTGTTTCAATAAATTAATTTTCAATATAACTAAAAATTTAAATCATAGTAATAAGTATAAAATTATTAAATTAGAGAATATTAATTTAATGTAAAAAAAATATCCTGCTTAAATATTTTTCTATAAAAATTAACCAATTTAAATTGTTAATTTTAAACTTATTTCACATAAGATATTTTCAAAGTAAAATCAGAAAAATACCTATTGAATAGCATGATATTCAAATGCCAACATTCAAATGCTGACACTAATGTCCAAATAGAATTAAAAGTCACTATTAGTGACATAATCCCCAAAAATGTGGATTGGTTCAGAAATATTCCTTATCTTTTAAAATGTGAACATTTATTTTCTATTTTCAGAATTATATTTCTATTTCATTATCTTATATTACATTACTAGAATAACTTTAAAAATGAAATGAAACTGCATATTTTTTTTTACAAATATAAATAATAATATTGAAGTAGATTAATTGAAAATGCAGTTAGACTAATAAACATAAATACACATTAAATAAGAAAATAAAATGTTTCCTTCCACTAAACAAAAGAGGAAAAACATAATTTTTACAGTATTTAAATTAAATTAAGCATCTATTAATGTATATCAAAATTCTAATGAAAATTAGCTAATGATATTATTTTAAATAATTCCTCATAGATGTTTTACTATTTTATTTATTAAAGATGCATAATTATCTGAAAAAAAAAAATAATTTTAGACCAAATGAAATGCAAACAACACAGAGGAAAAAAACTTTCTATATACAATTTTTTTTGTCTATCACTTGCATTCCATTAGATTAAATTACAATTTATTGAATAAAACAGCAAACTACTTATAATTAATTAATTTAAAATAATATCAATAGCTTATTATTTTGTATAAAGCTTCCAAATCATGTTACAAACATAATAATTTGATTGCTTAGTGAAAAGCATAGAAAACACAAATTTCTTATTTTTTCTCCTTAAAAGTGTTTACAAGTTAGCCAATATGTGAAAATAAAACTGTATATAAATAAAAAAAATAAAACCAAAAGTATTAACTGAGACCAAAACTGGTCCATCAAATATTTTTGATTTCCTAAAGGAAGCAGTTTTGTTTTTCTATATATCAAAAAACAAAACTGCTTCCTTTATTATTATTAAATAAATAAATAAATCAGAAATGAAATGATAAAAATTTTGTCATTTGATTTATTGTATTTTCAACAAAATGCATTTTGATACAAAAATAATTGCAGCGTAGATAGTTTCAGTTCAAACATTCCTAATTTTTTTCCTGTTTAGCTTACTTTATAATTACATCTATAATGAAACTTTTCTCAAAATCCTTTTGGGCCTACCAGTGGCTAAATGGTTCCATTTCCTTAACACTGGGAGTAAAGTTGTGGGTTCACGCCTTGCCAGGATGGGCTGGCCACATGGAGTTTTCTGGGTTTTCTCCATGTCTGTAAGGCCTGAATAGGGGCTAATTACTCTTAAAAAGACCTCTTGGAAGGCATCCCCCTAGACAGATCACCCAAGTGCTACATTGCCATAACTTAACAAACAAACAAACAATTACTAATAAATAAAACAAAAGAAATGAGGAAAAGTGAAATGTTTCAGATAATACCTTCTAAACTAAATACAAATTAAGTAATACATTTTCAAAAGAAACTACAAGAGGTATGGATTATGTATATGTATCAGGTCAGTCCATAAGTTCGTGCACATTTTTATCTACAAAAAAAGCAACAAAAAATTTTAATTAAATCTTATTTCAATCTATAATGTATTCACCATTATTTTGTACAATTTCTTGCCATCTTGATGGTAGCTTTTTAATCCTGTCTTTGTAAAATGATTTCGGTTTTGAATCAAAATATTCAGAAATAGCCTTTTTTACATTGTTCTCATCCTCAAAAGTTTT